ACATAATTATGGAGTGTAATTTATTTTCAACTCAAATTATCTTCAAACTAACGAAATATAAAGTTATTAGTGAAGAAACCACTCGTAAATTTTGTTCGTATCTGAAAGAAAATCTTAGAAAACGAAAACATTGGTGAATGCCACAAATTCTCCTAAATCACTCGTACGCACAACTTAAGAACAAATCTGTGCGTACGAACGGTTCTTGCATGAGGCCCAATGTTCTGATTAAGGTGTGTTTTGTTACTTTTAGGCACAGTGACACTGAATGGCCAGAGGCAGACAGTTCCGGTGGTGACAGGTGACCTGGTGCTACATCAGGCCTCCTCTTCATTTGTTCTCATCCAAGCGTTTGGAGCCCAGATTCTTTGGTATTTGGATGGATCCTTTGCCCTCATCAACCTTCAGCCTGGTTTTGCTCACAAGGTGACATAGCACCAAGTGGTTGCCTTTATTTTACCTTCAGCTGAAACAAATTAGCGATATTACAAATCATCACAGATTCTAAAATGACTTGTTAACCGTGAGACATGCACTGATGTATGAGAGGCCCTTTAGGACATAATTCAAACGTGCTCTCACATAAAGGGCCTCTCATACTAATGACTGCACGTGATGCATTCAAGGTGCGTGGTTTATGTGGAACACTGACGTGGAACCAGCACGATGACTTTACGACCCCAGACGGCGACGTGGAGAACAGCGTGTCGTCCTTTGCAGAGAAATTTACAAGCGAGCGCTGCGTTCTGCCAGTAGGGTCCCCACCGGACCCCTGTTCTACATACACTCAGAGGAGACGCTATGCAGAAACGGTCTGTGCCATCATACACAGTCCCATCTTTCAGGTCAGTGTGTTTGGAGTTAGCTTTGGTTTAAGGAGCATTTCAGCACTGTGCACCTACCTCACGCTTTTATTCTGTAGGTGTGCCATGACGTGGTGGAGAGGGAGCACTATTTCCGCCTCTGTCTGTCAGAAGTGTGTGGATGTGTCCTGCAGAGACTGTGCCACTGTACAGTTCTCACTGCCTATGCCCAACACTGCGCTCAGGAGGGCGTTTTGGTCTACTGGCGCAACCAAACACTTTGCCGTAAGCTGTTCATCAGTTACGCTCAGTTTCTGAGTTTCGCATTCAGCCAACCATGCTTAAAACCGCAGTAACACCTCTGTCCCTGCTTTCCTACCCAGCGGTCCAGTGCTCGGGGGGTCAGGTGTACCAGGAGTGTGGTCACGTGTGCGGTGGGTCCTGCTCCGACCTGCCACACAGACAGAGCTGTGATGACAGTGCTGGTGGAACTGGTGGTCACAGAATGTGTGTTCCTGGCTGCCGGTGCTCAGCAGGACTTGTGCAGGACCAACAAGGCCAGTGTGTGCCAAAGACTTTGTGCCCTTGTGTGCAAGGAGACCAGACGTATCCAGCTGGAGCTGTAATTCAGAACAACTGCAACACCTGGTATGTACAGAACAAACCCCATCAGGAATTATGAGCCACAGGTATGTTTTGTTAGTTATTTTCAGTCAAAAATATGCTGTCTAGTAAATAATTTAACAAAAATAATCAAAGATATAAGGTAATAAAGACATCTGATGCTAACTTCATCTTCTTTCTTTGGTCACTCTTTTTGGGATCATCTGCCTTCATCTTTCCCTATCCCATCATCCTCCTCTGTTACCCCAAACCTCTTCACTACATCCATAAAACTTCTCTGTTTACTTGGTTTCCCTCCCTGGTTGGTCAAGTATATGCAGTATCTTTCCTATGCACATATCCATAACTTCAAATTTCAACAGGCACCCCAAATCCTTTTCTAGCAGGTTCCTTCACCACTTCTACTGTCCTTTTCCAGTTATCTGGTATTGCTTCCTTAAAGGGCCAATATTATGTGCTTCTCAGGCATATATTTAAATACTATATCATAATAAAGTATCTATGTCACCTTTAGCTGTTATTAAAATGCTGTTTTTATGTTTAAATAGAAAATAAACTTATCTTCTCATCACTTCCTCTTCTAAACACCTTGAAATTGACCTCTGTCTCTTTAAGAACCACCTTCTGCTTCTGTCCCGGCAATTTCAGTGTGTGTGTGTGTGTGTGTGTGTGTGTGTGTGTGTGTGTGTGTGTGT